AGTCATTGAAATGAATTTTTTCTTTTTTTTCGAAACAATGTGGTTACTTCAAATGAATATGGTGATGGTATGCTAAATTCCTGTTGGCCGTATTATTACTAAAACGTCATTTTTATTACGAATATAGCATTATAACAATGTAATAAAAAGTTCGGCTTGAGGCTAGATTCAATATTTGAAAGTTCTTAAGTATCGCATTAAAATTGTTTTAAATCAAGAAAAGTTTCTCAACAAAAATCCAACTTATTTTACACTTACGACACTTTTTCTACTAAATCATCACATTTTTCATAACCAAATCCCGTATCTCTCTTTGAAGTTTAATTACACCTACTTTAAAATCGCAACTCTTGCATAAAAATCACCTAACGTAACGAATTACGTTTCGCTCACCACCCTCTTCGTTCCTGTAAACGCGCCTTGCATTTCCTACGAGAAGGGTGGATGTGTCAAAGACTGACTCTCCCATGCATAAATGTTACAAATTGATTGTGAACGGACCGGTCCCTTCTAATTTCCGGTTTTTGAAATCGAATACGCCTACCTTTGCCAGGTCTTGTGTTACGTTGTTATGAATAAATACAATTCAACCTAATGGAGTATGAAGAGAAGTGGATCAAAAGTCTGCATCAGACGAGAAACGGAAATAATCCGACCATCAGTAAAATTGGATAGTCCAAAGCGTGCCTGCTTTTTAATAAGAAAGCAAAAAGTATGATTGGTTGAAAAAGAGGATCGAGGATTGTTGTTTGCGCACTGGTCATCTTATAAACAGTCAGAGAAAAGCCATTTCATAAAATTTCAATCTAATTACACTAATTAATTAAGGCAATTACTTCAACAAACAAACTAGCCATTATTACTAGTAGATATTTGTTGCAAAAGTAGCATAGGTACACTCTTCAGTAATTTTTCTCAATCTTTTTAAATTGAAAATATACTTTTTACTGTTATACAGTATGTCCCCAGATTGAGTTTACAAGAGGAAAAAAATTTTTATCTTTGATTTTACGCCAAAAGTGCAAAGGAAAAACATTTTTTTGCTTTATCTGAAACCAGCAAATCTGTAATTAAAACATTATTATTCTAACTCAGTAGAAAGAAAAGTTAATTTTTCTTTTGATTCTGGACTTTCTCTCTGCTTTTTAAGTCTTATCACATTGGCGGTTTTATTATTTTGACAATGATGTCATTTTGACAAATGAGTTTACGCAAGTTAAATAACAAAAATATTTGTGAGAAACATAATTTTAATAAATGGCAACTCAAAGAAACAGCTTTAGGATAAGAAACAAAGTCATTTTTACGAATAAAGAGTTTAGGTTAGAATTGAAGAAATCCCGACTTTTATTAACAATTTTATTTCAAGTCGACGTTCCGAGTATGAATTTAATTTAATTTAATCATGTAATCATGACTCAAAATAGTTATTTTCCCTACAAGTGCGCTGTCAAATTATTTTTCAGGTCTGAGACCGAATTTTGCGGCACGAAGCAAAGCTGAGTGTTGCAGTGGAGGTCGACGACCTGAAAAATAAGACAGCGCACGTGTATCGAACAACAGTTTTCATGATCGTCAGCGAAATTTCATAAAAAACATGAATTTATTAAAAGTTTTGAGGTTAATTTTGACAGATGTCAAATCAAGTATTATATAAATTGAAAAATTTATATATTTAGTTATATAACACTTTTCACCTTATGTAGAGTCCTTATGTAATGGCCCAGTAACACATTTAAGACCAAATTTGTAACGCGCATGCTTTACGTAGGGGTTGCATGTCATCAGTAGCGTACTTTAATTTTCTTTACACTTACCCATACCAAACGAAAAAACGGCCATTAGCAAACATAAATCAAATTGTTTTTTTTTTATCTTTTATTAATTGTGTATTTTTGGTAAGTACAATTTTTTTTTTTTAATATTTCTAGCTTTCATTTGGTACGTAAAGAATTTGATGCAAAATGTACCATGGTTGGCTAAAAGAAATCATACACAGATGACGAACAACAGATCCGAAAATTATAAATTTGAGTTGTGTAAACATCACTTTTTTAAAAAAGGTTATGTATGGATAGGCTTGATAGGACGGACTCAGATGTTAAAATCGCTCAAATTTTAATCTGCTGAACATCACCCTCAGCAGCAATATTCCGTATCGAAATTCCGTCTCCTAAATTTCGTGCTGTAGTCTGTTTTTGAGTTTCAGTTAAACCCATTTTATCTGCAAACGTCACAAAAGTGACCACTTTTATGACTAAATGACACAGGTAAAAGTTTTACTTTTCAGACATGGAGTAAAAACACTGTTTTTACGCCTAGGCGTTTTTACTTTTACTTGACACTTACTTTGACATTTATCACTGTTGTCTCTTTCTTGTCTCTTTCGCTTTTTCAGCATTTTCTGGAGAGGTACAAGGTAGATTATCAGCATTCGACATTTTGCACTATAAACTACACCAGTTATGCACCAATTAAATCAATCAACACTTTCGAAATCTCAACACAAATTCCGAAACTGACGCGTGACGTTTGTTATGATTTTATTGCAAAGCGTCCTGATTATTGAGGTGATTTACTTTTTTATTGGTGTGTTGCTCTTTTCGTTCCATCTGAATCGTTTGCAGATAAAATAGTATATGTTATTTGGAGCAAAAGTGAGTTTATGTGGCTCAGCTGAATCCATTTGCCTCACTCCGTTCGGCAAAATGAACGTTCAGCTTCTCCACATAAACAATCACTTTTACTCCTAATAACATAATCTACTATTATCGCACTGCAGATTTTGATTTACAATATTAAAATTTTGGCTGTACTTACCACTTTTTTATCTCCACCACGTATGTTACGCCACTGGCAAGCGATTTAAGCTCCCTTCTCTAAAAGTTCGCGCAGATTTTCGATCCCGCCCATATATGTACCTCTTAGAAAAACGGACTCTATCTAAGGGAACGATCATGAAAAAGTTATTTTTATTAAAATTTAAATTATTAGGCATGGATATGTGAAAAATTGAATTTTTCCATGCCTAATAATTACAATTTTAATAAAAATAACTTTTTTGAGTCATGATTAAGAGTAAATTCATACTCGAAACGTCGACTTGAAATAAAATTGTTAACAAAAGTCCGGATTTCTGCAATTCTAACCTAACCTCTTTATTCATTAACTACCACGGACGATTAAAACCTCATCATGCCAAATTATTTTTAACAAGAATTATCATTATTTAATTAATAAATTAATTGTCAAAGTGACATAGTATAGTTGTCAAATAAATAAAACCGCCAATGTGATAGAACTTAAAAAACAGAGAAAATTTAACTTTTCTTTTTACTGAATCAGAATAATGAAGTTTTAAATACAGATTTGATCATTTCAGGTGAAGCAAAAAATGTTTTTCCTTTGCAGTTTTGGCGTAAAATCAAAGATAAAAAATTTTTCGTCTTGTAAACCCAATCTGGGGACTTACTGTATGCAAGGAGAATCATCTAACTCTTTCACCTTGTTGTTTGTGCCTCATTGTGTTGTGGAAATTGAAATCACTTTTCTACTTTTGTTTTATCTAAAAATATTAAGGTCCGGTTTGCAATCAATTTTTTTTGAAAAATTCTACCATACATTTTTTTAAATAATATCTAAAACAGTCGCGCTCAAATTTAAAGATATAAATTTTGCTTGGCGTGACTAAAATCACTTAAAATGTCCAGTAAATAATTTGGCTTTGTGTAGACACTAAATAACAATAAGTTCTGCGTCTCTGATCGAATTTCAGTCGATAAGTAAGTAACAAGACTCTCAGCAATCTTCGCATCACTCCAGTATTGGTTTACGAGCACTAATGAGCTTGTTGCAAAATAAGTTTAATACCTAAGAAGCTTTATATCTAAATACATCTCTCGCAAGAGACAAAATAAACTTTTACCTCTAATACTTGTTTAAAACTAAACTTTTAAATTATTCTTTGCTTGTTTTCAACTGGAGTAAATGTACAGAAAAAGCCTTTTGACATGTTTCAGGATATAAAAATAATAAATTGAGCTTCAGCCCCCAAAAGAGCATCATTGTTGATTTTGTTCGTCTCTTGGCGCCACACTTTCATAAATCCTCAAACCCGTAAATATGGATAATTGACATAATACTTGACACGGCTCTGTAAAAACGGTTCCCTCGGTGACTATAATCCTCCAGATGAATCATAATAACATTAAGATGAAATAAAGTATCACAGATATTGCAAAAAAGCGGGAAATTTCACCCCCTGTACCAATTATGCTCACAGATTGATCGACGGAGTTATCAGTGCCAAAATCCCAAGAGACATCTCGCCGAAAAGTTATTATTTACCCTTATAATCCACCAGACTACAGCTTCCGTTTATTATTATTATTATTATTAACCCATTTCTAAAGCCTTTCGCCCACTCGATGGATACATAATAACCCCACTTTGTTCAATTTAATTTAAATTCATGTTTTTCTGTACTTGGTGTGCAATGATTTTACCATTATTATGGAAATTGTATTTTGTAGTCGGGATTTGAGTTAAATAAAAAGCTCTTTTAATGCTTAGCTTGACAGTAAATAGGTTTACTCGTGCATTTTACTCTCAAAAAAGTGTGATGCGTGTTGACAGGAGAGGAAAGCAGATCACACCCACTTTCAGAAAGCTCACATTTTTTCATGTTGACTTTTCAGATACCGGTTGTCGATTACGAGTAAAATGAGAAGAACAAGAACCCGAGCACGTAATCTCTGCAAGGTTAATCTCAATTGTGTTGGAGGCATTTTGTAAACATATTTTTGCATACAAACGATTGGAAGTTTTAATTAACAAAAAGTTTTTACTAATTATGAACGCTCATCTAACACCGCCAGATGTAACTCATTTAAAAGCAAAATTTTGTATTTTCATTTTTACAACTTTTACAATTAAAAAGTTTGACGTTGAAAAACAAAGTGGCACCGCTTTTCAACATTTAATAAAATATACCTACTTACCCTGTTGGTGTTTCAAAGGCAGGTGCGATCTGTAATAGAATAAAAATGTATTAAACTGAAACAAAATTCAAATGTATTAAAATTTTCTCTAAGCGTAATTTATATCAAGCGATAAATCACTCGTTTTTGGGGTGGCTACGAGAATGAAAAAGCAATTAAAAACATTTGTGTGAGTTTATCGATTGATTTGATTACAGTGAATAATAAATTATTGAACTGTACATGGCAGGGGCAAATATTTATTTGGCAAAAACAATATTTTGTGGCTATATTAAAATGTTTTAGGTAGCGGAACCTGGCAATCGTAATATTTCTAACTAGCACTCGAATGTAGTAATAACGTTTCTTAGGATATCAGAACAATAATGAAAAATCCTCCGGTGGCATTAATTACAATTTTATCAGCGACATTCCAGCTTTTGCACCGTAAACAATTAAAAGAACCATTTATTCTGGCAAATTTATGGCTCTAATTTAGAATGAATCTAACAATTCTTAATTCAGACGGTCCAAGACAAAAGTAATGAATCGAAAATTAGGTGGGTCCAACATACGGAAAAAACGGACAACTTTCTTCAGGGTCAAACAAGTTAAACAACATATTAATTTTTACTTTTTCTCAGTCATCAATCATTTTCTTTTCTCCGGAAAAAGCAAGCAGTGAGTAGTAGCACGAGGAAGGGATGGTCTAAAGACTATTATCTGACACGAGCGCCGTCTGACACACATGCACCGTTTCATCTTTATTGCTTTTTCGACACACATAGAAAAATAAAAATGAGAAGTAGTTTGTTTTCGATTGACAATAGCCAGTTTTGAAATGAAACGTTATAGGATGAAATCAACAATGCAAAAAAAATCAGTTTTTTTGGAGATATCAAGGAAACTGACCGACCTGAAATTTGGTACAATTTATTCTGCTTTACTGTTTTACGCAGAATTTCTTATGTAAAGTTATTTTATATAATTATGATCAAATGCAGGGTGCGCCAGAACTCACGCCCCTGAGTGAAAAATGTTGACATTTATATTTTTGATATTTGCCATTTTTTATGTCTATTTAATGATACTGATGATCCTGTATATGTTTTTTTACAATTATTTAGTAACGGTACGAAAATTTTGCCAATAAAAGCCACAAATAACATTGAACAGAGTTACAATTTAAGATACAGCTAGCTTCCTTGTTTCCAATTCTAATAGCCTGTAGCAAAAAAAGTTGGAAAATTATTTTTCTAACAGAAATAAAAGTGCAAAATTTACCCTCATAATTTCAAAATTTTTATAGATAAAATTTTTTTAACATTATTTCCATGTTTCTGGGATTTTTCTCTGAGGCGCGAGTTCTGGCGCACCCTGTATAATTGTTTAAATTTCTGAAGTAAATATACTCGTAGAAATGATACACAGTTAGATTTTAGTAAGTGAAAACTTTTGCTAAGTAGTGTTTTATTATAATTTTCCTCTTTTTTTTAAAAAAAAAGCTTGTTTACAAATACCCAAATATTTTTTGCTTCTAAACTGCCTATTTTTTAAATAAATTAACAAAAATTTTAAAGTTTAACAAAATGTT